CTCGAAAGTCTGACCGTCCACGGCCACAGCCATGACGAAGTTTTTGGCGTGGCTCTCCCCGCTCTCCGAGAGGAACTCGTACTTGAGCCCCGGCCGCAGCTCGTTGAGGATCATGACAGGGTTCTTCCCGCTGGCGGTGGGGTAGGGGGACGGCGGGGGCAGAGGCGACTGGGAGAGGCTGCTGGCCACGGCAGCCGACGGCAAACCGTACTCCCCGCCGGAGCTGAAGGAGCCGTCCCCGTTGGAGCCGAGGTAAAAGGACGCGTCGGAAGGGACCGGCGTCTCGAACCCGTTGAAGAGGGTGTCGGGGAAGTCCGCCTGGTCGGACGTGAAGTCCGTGTTGACCGACAGAGTCCTGCCCATGGCCAGGTGGGCCTCCGAGGCGTTGGGGAACTGGACGAAGGACCGCAGAGCCTTCTCAGCGGCGTGGAGCTTGGCCTTCTTTTTCGTGGGGCCAGAGCCCTCGAACACCTGCCCGTTGACTTCCACGGCCATCACGAACATGGGGGCGTGGACCGGCCCCGTCTGGGAGAGCAGTTTGTACTGTAAGCCGGGTTTGATCTCGTTAAGTTGCATCAGGGCGTTCTTGGGCAGGACGGGGCCGGGCGTTTTCTTCCTCTTCTTGGGGCGAAATTTGGAATGGCCGTTGTTGCCCTCCTCCAGAGGCCTCTTCCTGCTGCTGCTGCTGCCGCCGTTGGAGAGCTGTGTCCCCTCCCCGGCCCCTGTCCCACCGCTGTCTTTGGGGGGAACGTTGTCCACGTTGCGGTTTTCTTTAATGTCGGTGCTGCTCGAACCTGCGGTGCCCAGAAAGAGTAACTTACAATGCCTTCGGTGCAGGATCTTGTAAATGCAAAATTTATAGATTCCTTTATCTCTCTTTGTAACTGGTTAAGTGATGTGTGCTCACAGGTTAAATATTTTGGCAGTACAACCATAGATAATAATAATAATGATAATAATGATGGTAATGTAATGCAATCTCAATGATTCAAGAAATAACACACTCAGTGATCTTCACGCTACACATCTGGTACAGTCACATAGCAAAAACCCACAACAGCTTCTGGTTTTTTCATTTAAATTATGTTGGAACAAAACTTCTACTTATAAATTACATTTAGCCTGAAAAATGCTTTCAATCAGAAATATAAGCTATAGTAGAGTATATCCATAAAACAAACAACTACCATGAATAAAATAAAAATGGATGCTTAAGACCAGAATTCAGAGACAGGTATTTAATTCTATTTTATTATTATTTTAGTCATGTTACTTCTTTTGCCTCGGGGATTATTAGTTGCTCAAATTGAAAAACTACATAAATAAAACCTGAGCAATGAAAAAATAGGCAGCTCTTTGGTAAATTACCAAGACTGAAGAGTGTTCAAATGCTTTTTTTTTCTCTTTAACTATTCCATATTTTCCTAAATCAATTATTTTTTTAAGCCTTTCAGAAACGTTCATTTCCCCTCACCCCAATTTGCTCAGGAACTACAGCTGCCTGCTGTGCCACCATAGAATCATAGAATCATAGAATCATAGAATAGATTGGGTTGGAAAAGACCTCCAAGATCATCAAGTCCAACCCCTGATCCAACTCCAATTACTATATCATGGCACTAAGGGCCACATCCAATCTCTGCTTAAAAACCTCCAGGGATGGTGAATCCACCACCTCTCTGGGTAGGCTGTTCCAATG